CCCATGCGCAGCCAAGCTCTCCCACGCCCCAGCCCCTAGCTCAGCCCAACGGGCTCCACCTCGCCCAGCCCGCCCCACAACGCCAGCCCACTACCCGATTCCCAAAACCTGTCTTTCATACGAGCCCAACCGAGCCCCATCCAGCCCAGCTCAGTCCCAGCCCTGCCCATCAACTCCGAAATCAAGCTCTAAAAGGAAACCTGCACAAAACGTTTCGGTCGAAACGTTTCGCTCAAAACTTACCCATCAACTCCGAAATCAAGTTCAAAAAGGAAACCTGCTCAAACGTTTCGATCAAAGCTTTCGCTCAAAACGGTTCTCTCAACACTTATTGGCACCCAAACCCTTAACAATTTCTATAAACCCCAAACCCTAAACCCTAAACCTTCAACCCAAATCCCTAAACCCTAACTCCCTAAACCCTAAACCCTTAAATCCTTCAACCCCTAAACCCCTAAACCCCAAACCCTAGACCCTTAAATCCCTAAACCCTTAGGGGCACCGGCCTGCCCGTGGGATCCTTCTGCTTCCAGGATTCCTGGCGCAGGGCAAGCGAAGCTTTGGAAAAACTCGGGGGTTTAGGGGTTTAGGGCCTAGGGATTTAAGGGAATTAAGGGTTTAGGGTTTAGGGATTTAAGGGGTTAGGGATTAGGGATTTACGGGTTTAGGATGGCTATTTTAAGGCTACTAAAAGGGAGGGATGCTCTATGCTTCTGTCACCCAGAATAGCACATGCATTTAGCAACACCGACACTGAAACTAATATAGGGGAGCCAAATCCTTACGATAGCCCTTATAGTAATTCAGCGGAATACAACCCTTTTGAAAGGAACCCTTTAAAGGAACCCTTTTCTAATTATTTAAGCCCCTATATGAATCAGCCGTACACGTCCAATCCGCTACCGTAGCAGTGCGAGCCCGGTAAATAGTCCGAACATGACGCTCGCCGAACCGGACACGTCGAGTTGAGCCAGCATTCATTAGGGTTCCTTTAAATGGTACTTTCAGAGTCCCTCAAGGGATCTATTTTTTTTAAGGGGTCTATAGGGTTTAGGTTTAGGGGCCTAAATAATCACCTATAATATTTTGAGGATTCCTTGTTGTAGGCATAGCATAATATGCACCAAAACCCTATTAAAACTATCAAGGCCCCTATACCCAAGCATGCATGTTTCTGTCCTTCGGAATCTGCGAGATGGTCTCGTTCAGCAACAAGGCATAGTTCACCTTGTGCGCTTCAGAACTCGGACCCAGTAATATTGGGGCCTTAGTCACTAAAATAGAGTTCCTTTCAAGGGATCTTTAAGGGATCTATTATAGGGTTGTATAATATAGGGGCCTTGGTAATTAGAATAGGGCCTTAAGGGGCATCTGACCGCATGTTTGTACTGTAGCTTTTAAAGGCACTGGCGAGCTGAATGATTGATGGATTTCGGGGAAAACCCTCTGTGCTTAGAGGTTCATGGGTAGTTATATAGGTGGGGTTGTAAGTCCCGGAATATGGGTGATAATTATGGCTACCCTACTTCTAACCCCACTTGTAACTACCCATGAACCTCCACGTGGTTTCGAGTGCAACTGGGCTTTGAAGCTTGAGGCTCAAAGCGTGGTGGGACCAGCTTGCGTCCAAAAGCCATGTGGCGCTTGAGGCCTCCAGCGTGATCTAATATAGGGGCCTCATTATTTAGGATAGGGCTTTGGGGGTATATTATAATCTAACTATAGCGGGGAACCCCTCCAAAGAAAAAACACAAAATAGTATAGGTAGTTATAAAAGCCTCTATATTAGAAGTTTTGAAGTTGTGCGGCTGGCAGATGGATTCCGAACTTCCATCGGGCATGAAGATGTTGCAGCATGCTCGCGCCCTGGAACTGATATCCAAAGCTGAACAGCCCTAAACGTTGTAGTGCCAAGGATGCTATTCTTGATATCATACTTGTCATTCCTCTGCTGATTGGGGCAGTTTGGGGTCGTGAGCCAGGCTATGAATCAGGGCTTTACTTAAAGAATCATGGGACTTAGTAGCTAGGGTTATGCTCAGGGTAGCTATACCTATAACCCCAATTAAGGCTCTTATAACCTTACTTACTAAGTCCCATTAATCTCCAAGTAGGGTCTGGAAGGCCAGAGAATGGCAGAGCATTAACTTGGAATCCTTGCAGGAGGTCGAGACCTCCGCCGATGTATCTGAAGACCTACCTGAACCCTAAAGAACCTACCTTCTAAGGTTACTTCTTACGACTTCCATACATATATATATACATGTGTATATATACACATAAATATATATATATATATGTGTGTGTGTGTATCCTTTGAAACGGTAGTTTGTGGTGTTGAAACCCTACAAAACCCTACTGTATTGGTGGGAACAGCACGCGCCCTCCTCCTATGCCCCAAGCCTGAGCCACTGCAACCTCAAGCCACGTCTGAACCCCAAACATGCATCCGGTCAACCCTAAGCCCAAAAAACTGAGACGCCCCCACGGGTCTGAGTAATTAGAGGGGTGTTGGGGTAGATTACAGTAGAACAACAATACCCTACAAAGGTCCTCAAATAGAACCCTAAACCCCTAAACCCTAAACCCCTAAACCCCAAACCCTCAACCCTAAACCCTCAACATCCTAAACTCTTGTTAACAAAAGATATCTTAAACCCTTGTTAACAAAAACCATTTTTAACAAAAACCATTGAAAAGACCCAGCTTTCCTGCCTATACCACCCCGAGTCCGAAGCCTCCATGTACCCAGATAGTATATACTTAGGCCTCAAAGGGGTTCCTAATATAGGTACTTATAATATAGGGGCCTCAATGATTAGAATAGGGTTTTGGGGGGATATTATACTATACGTACAAAAAGGAACAGTATAGGTAAGTATTAAGGCCCCTATATTACCTTCAACCCTAAACGGCGCCCCCACCATCGACTGCTGAGCCGATCACCGTCCAGGCGAGGATGGGATCCGTGTTGTAAACCTTTCTGGCGAGTTTTAGGCTTTAGGGTTTACGGACTGGAATTCTTAAAGGGGGTTTAGGGTTTTAGGGCTTAGGAATTTAGGGTTTGGGGTTTCTGGGGCTGCGGGTTTAGGGTTTAGGATTTTTGGTTTAGCGTTTTGGGGTTTAGGGTTGCCGTGCTTGGGGGACCGGGGGGTCTAGGTCGTTAGGATTCAAGACAAGCCAGGGGCTAGGAGTTTTGGGATGTTAGACTTCAGAGGAAAGGGCTTTAGAGCTTGAGGCTTGGGGGCTTTGGGTTGTCGGACCCAGGGTACCTTATTGAAGGCAAGGCCCCGCAAACCCCCGAAACCCGATGGAACTCATCATCCTCAACGTGACGCCCGAAAGAACTCCTGACCGTCAAGGCCGCTAAGACACATTGGCAGACAATTGAAAACGGCATTGCTTTCTTATTCATACTAGCTTCTTCCTGACAGTGCGGAGTGGTCTTGTTTTCGCGAAAAAGCCAAACCGCAGCGGACAGGTTATGGCCTTTAAGCGAGACCTTACAGAGCATAGGCCTGCGATGAAGAGTCTTTTGTAGTAGATATTTATATATTATGTAGATCTTAGTGATTCATCAACCTGTATGTAATATGAAAAACATGAGCTCTACAACAAATAGTAGGTTGCAGAGTCGCAGCCTTCAGGGCTTTGGGTTTAGGGCCCCAAGGCTCGCTGAACCCTGCAACTGAACCGGAAAACACTTTGTAAACCCATTGATGTAAACGGTCTAAGGTTTAGGGTTTACTTAGGGTTTAGGATTTAAGGTTCAAGGTTTTTAGGGTCTTTTGGGCTTAGGGTTTAGATCGCGAACTCCTCCCTTTCACTCTGAGACTTCGGGGCCCTCGCACTCCGCAGCAACTCATCCCAATGCTTCAGCATCTCCTGGGAACCGATTGAGTTTGCGGTTTTTGAAGATGCAATGCCTCTTTCTCCGCGGTTTAGGGTTTAGGGGTTTAGGGTTCAGGGGTTTAGGGTTTAAGGTCTAGGGGGTGTATCTACCCTTATTCTCATGGTCCGTTGAAAGGGCGTACCAGTGTTTTCTAGGAGATCCTGAGAAAGCGGGCACCCACCTTCTGCTATCTGGGAAACAGATATGCGAAACAACTATAGGATGGATGCTTGGACTTTTCCTCTCACCCCAGGAGGTAGCTTCAGGGTACTCCAGCTTAGCCACTGAACCCAAAAGTTCAACGACGCCCTCATGCGAATATCGAAACGGAGCTGACTTGCCCGGATGCTTCTGAAATGATGGAACCCGTGGGCTGAAGCTTTAGGATTTGGGAGCTTACCTTATTTAGGGGTCCTTATAAATCAGGTTCCTACTATGTAGGGTACTATACTAGGGTCCCCTATTTTCGGAAACTCTCATTTTAGAGCTAAGGGAAGTCACCACCACCAAGACGACCAGCGGCCCTCGTTAGTCCTCTTCGTGACCAGGCTGCGGAAAAAACGGAGGTTGTCAAAGTCTAGGATTAACGTAGAGGGTTTGGGGTTTAGGGTCAAGCCTTCCCACACGAGTGCCTCAAACTTCTGAGGATTTCAGAAGGGTTCTTTCATGGTTCCTGTCTGTTGCACAATGCAGAAACCCTTAAACCCAGCGCCCTAAACCCTAAACCCTAACCACTAATCCACAACCCCAAAGCCCCCGCATGCAAAAACCCGAAACCTGTGAAAGAACCCTCTTCAGCCAGGTCTATGCCGGCGCCGCCCGTGTGTCAAGGGAAGGCTACGAAGTAAAGCCCCTTGTGCCATGACATGCTCTGTCCGCAAGGTAACACGTTGCGCTTGTACAAATAAGCAACAGCACTTGCAGCAGGACTTTTCAGAGCTGTGTATAGCGATGTCGAGAGCACAAACTTTGCAGATGACGAAGCAGAGACAGCTCTTTTGTGTGCCGTAAAAGTGATTGCGAGAGCCATGCATTCATAAGCCATGGTTACAATTCGGTGATGGTAGAACCATCTGAGAGGAAGGTCCCACGAGCCTTCCAACAGGTTATGAGCGCCCAAGCGGAAGGGCCTGCGCTAACCGCAAACGGGGTGGATCCGGATGTGGCAAGAGGCTCCGGGGACCCGGGACTACCTGTTCGTGATGAACAACCAGATGGACAAAGGGCCGGGCAGCCAACCGGCGAGCAGGGCACTACGGGTGGCGATGCGGAAAGTGTGTCTGCAGGCGCGAGAGCGCCCGGAGTGCGAAGCTCGGAGCAGCTACCTACAGCGAGTGGAGGACCGCAGGGGAACGAATCGCATCTGCAGCAGGGGAGACCAACAAGGAGCTCTACGACTGTGGACGTGGACGGACGCCCGGGTCCGGGTGACTTCGCTGGGTGGCCGCATGGGGCTGCCGGTTCCGCGGAGTTTACAACGCCGAGATCAACGGCGTCTGTGATGGCCCAGCAACCAAGCTGGATGACAGGACTGGAAATGCCAAGGTGGGTGTCGCGTTTGGGGTCTTATCTGAGCGTGGGCCACCTGGATACTCTTCCTAGCCCGCTGGCTGGGGCTAGCGCGACTCCATCGCCGCCTGGAGGACCTACCTTCAGGCTGAGATCGCCGGTGAGGTCTATGAGGCCTCTACCGCCTCCTACACCACCGAGCTCGTCGGATCTGCCGCAAGAGGCGATACAGGCGGAGGTTCAGAGACAGCTGGGTGGGTTGTTGGATTGTTTGCAGAGTGCAGAACAGTACAATGATGTGCTGAGGATGGAGCTGGAAGCCACACAGAGATCCTTGGAGCAAGCCCGCCAAGCCAGAGGCGAGCATGCAAGGGCCCGGGGAGTATGTGAAGCAGCTGAGCTACGCCAGGGTGAACCCGGTCAAGTACCTCTCGGTGAACCTGCTCAGCTACCAAGGGTTCCAGCAGTATCTGTACCACCGGAGCATTCCCAGGGTGATCCTCTTACTCTACTTGTAGGGCAGCTGGGGATGACGCAGCCACCACCACTACCGAGTAATCAGGGCTACTTCGGGGATCGTGAGCATAGACCTCCTGTACCTCCTACACAACCACCAGAACCTATGTCAACGGCACCAGCACCCCCACCACAGCCTCAACAAGAGAATCGGGGTTTTCTACGTTCCTTTCTGGGACCTCAGCGCTCCAGGAGCCAGACGCCACCACCGCCGAGGATTGCGTCGGGTTCACCCCCCGAATCGCCAATGATGGATGCTCTTCTTCGTGGAGTACAACAGCTTCAGGAGTTGCAAGCAGCGGCGTTAGCAAAGGGCCAGTCCAGTTCACCTGAGATCTTGAAGCCAGGAACCTCAACGCTGACACCCCTACCCGAACTCAGCCAAGGAGCGGAGGCGGCGTTGCAGTTCCAGGACTGGCTGGAAGTGACCTCGGCAGCGATGAGTGACGTGAGTGACCAGAGCGCTGCATGGTGGAGAGAGGTGGTTCGCACTGTGGATGAGGCGTACCAGAAATGGCTAGCATCTACACCTCTCGAAAGACTGGGTGTTCAACCTGGGGGCCAGGAGCTGTCTGAGACAAAGTGGACCCGGCTCAACGCACGAGTTACTACGATGCTGTTGTCCGCTATGTCCCCTGAACAACGTACCGACATGATTTCTCACAGGATGTCTACAAGTACGGTGAGGATGCTGTTCAGGTTACACACGCTGTATGAGCCGGGCGGGAGTAATGAGCGCCAGGACCTACTGCGGCGTCTTCAGGCTCCGCTCGACTTTGTGGCAGGTGATACAATGGAAGGTGTTCTACGAGTACTGCGAGCATGGCCGAGGTGGATGAGTCGGTGCTTGGCGGTGCGGATGGCACCCCCGGACGCATCGGTGCTGGCGCGGGGCTTGAAGCTTCTTACGGCCAAGTACATCGAGGGTGCTCCGGACTCGAACTTCCGAACCAGTATGTTGCGTACAAGTTTGCGCTTGGATGGGCAACCGACTATGGAGAATGTCCACGCCTACCAGAAGCACCTCCAGGCGGAGATCGAGACCCTCCTTGCAAGCCAACCAAGGACGGCGGCAGCTATGTCAGGAGAGCAGCCGCGGCTACGTGCTCTGGACAAACCGGAGTCCCCCAAGGGCAAGGGCAAGGATAAGGACCGCGAGAAGGGCACGGGCGTGGACCTTTGTCGATACTTTCTGAAGCCCCAAGGCTGCAAACGAGGGGCCAAGTGCAACTACAGCCACAACATGAGCTCCTTGGAACGCGAGGTCAGGAACCGAAAGTGCCTGAGCTGTGGAGCCGAGAGCCATAGGCAGAAAGACTGCCCCATTGGACGCCCGGGACAACGACCGCCGGGCAACCCTTCTACGAGTGCCACGCCGCCTGGTGGGAACAAGGATCGGCCAATCACACCTGCTATGTCAACGATGTCTACTACAGCGACTGCGGGCTCCACCGATTCCTCTTCGCCCTCTTCCACGATACAGGGGACGGCGTGGACACTTGAGTCGCTGATACAGGCGGCCCAGCAGGTCGTACAGGCCCAGACTCAGAGCGAGGACAGGTCACCTGAGAAAACCCGTCCGGAGCTGAAGACCATCAGGGTTCGGGATATCCGGATTTCAGCGATGAGTTCTTCATCGTCGGCCTTGCTGGACTCGGGAGCGACTCACAGTCTTCGTAGCGCCGAGGATGACAATGAGTGGGAGCAGGCAGCTGAGGTACAGGTACAACTGGCGGGGGACAACTCTCTGTTGATGCGGATGAACGCCTCTGGTACCCTCTTGATGCCACCACGAGGCCTGCCTGGGACCTCTGGGGGATCGTCCTCTAGAGGTCAAACCATAGTTCCCCTCGGTGAACTGGTGAGAACGCTCGGATATACTTTAGTGTGGTCTCCTTCGAGGTGTTTCCTGCAGACTGGTGATGGAGAGCAGATCCCGTTGTCCATCAACTCGGGTTGCCCGCACTTGTGCGAGGCCGAAGCCCTTTCAATCATATCTCGCTTGGAGGACAAGAACCGCGAGAACCTCTTGAACGCCACGGTTACAACCATGGACCGGTTGGCGTTGGCGGCCCTACGAATGGACCGAACTTGGCAGGAGCACCTACAGACCTATGCGGGGACCGGCGATATGGAAGAAGGCTACAGAGGCCTACGAGACGCAGGGTTTCTACACGGGCTTCCAGGAGAATGTCTTGATTGTCTCCTAATTCCGGGAGTACGAGACGATGGATGGAAGGTGTTTAAGGGTGTGGACTTTTTGACGAGGCCACAGAAGCGTTATCTTTGGTCTGCCCGAAAATGGGTGGTCCACCTTTACGCGGGTGACCCAGGACACTACCAGATGTTCCAGCTCGACCAGGGCAACACTGCTGTGCTGGAGTTGGATGTTTCAAGATGCAAGGGCCACAACGTGATGAACGAATCTACGTGGAAGCTTCTGCTGTGGGGCGCCCTCACGGGACGGCTAGATGCGATCGTTGGAGGACCACCAGGCCGCTCTGGAATGTGGAACCCCAAGGGAGAGCTACTGACGGGGAAGACCAGATCGCTCACGGCGGTCGTCCGGATGATGTGGCTCTACGCGGTCGCCCGGGCGGCACGAAGCTCAGGAGGGAACGTCCTGAACAAGGAAAGGCCGGTAGCCTTTGTGATGGAGCATCCTACGGCGAACCGCGGTGGCGGGACTTCGTTATGGGAGTCGACGATGTGGCGGGAGTTTCAGCAGGAGATGGGCATGACTGAGGTGTCCTTCAATCAGGAAGCAACTGGAGGAGCCAATTCCCCCACAACGATTGGAACCAACGTCTACTACCTACTGGGCTTGAACGGCTTGGGAGGAAGGGACGCTCCCCCGAGCACCGAGCAGGATGGCGAGATGTTGGCTGCGTGGTCTCCCGGTCTTGTGAGAGCAATGGTAACGGCTTTGAGGTTTTGGGACAGAAGACCAGTGATGCCACCTACGGTGGCAGCGATGTCAGCAGAGCAGTGGAAGAAGCATGTCCAGTCGAACCACGCGGAGTACCACCGCGATTGTCTTACCTGCGTTATGTCGAGGGGGACGGGACGGAGGCATGCGAGAGTGAGGTCGCCAGATATGTTCAACCTCACCGTCGATGTGGCTGGCCCAGTGAAACCGGGCTTGGATGTTTCGTCGAAGGGAACAATGGGGAAGGGCCTACGTTACATGTTGGTCGGTCGCTATGTTCTCCCCACCGAGTATGTCAAGGGTTTTACGGGTCGCGAACCTCCTGAAGACCATGGTTTGAGTATGGCTACGACATGTGATGCAGAGGGCAACGGCAACGACAAAGAACCCACAGGACCTTCTACACCACTACCACAAGAAGAGGGGGAACGTGATCTACAACAAGGTGATGAGGAGGGCAACGGCAACAACAAAGAACCCACAGGACCTTCTACACCACTACCACAAGAAGAGGGGGAACGTGATCTACAACAAGGTGATGAGGAGGGCAACGGTAACAACAAAGAACCCGCAGGACCTTCTACACCACTACCACAAGAAGAGGGGGAACGTGATCAACGACCAGCACGTGTAGTCTGCAATGACAACGACAAAGAACCCGCAGGACCTTCTACACCACTACCACAAGAAGAGGGGGATCCGTTTATGTTAAGTGACGATGACCCAGGTGAGCAGAGTCCTTTGGTCGCATGTGACGATGACCCAGGTGAGCAGAGTCCGTTTCCGGAGTTGTTCGAGCAGCTTGAGCGGAACCATGAGGCGTTTGTGGGTGGAACCAAGGTTCAACGTGATGGATACGTCGACTACGAGGACTCCGAGTATGAGCCATCAGTTGTACAAGGAGAAGTCCAGGAGAAGGAGGAGCTGGATCAGGGGCCAGATCGGACGAAGAGAGTGTTCCCTGATTGTGAGGAGCCAGAGTCAACCTACTTGTTGTTTGCGAGGCCGTTACCGAACAATGGCACGCAAGCGATTAAGGGGGCAATCCAGGACATCATCCTCTACTTACACTCGCGAGGACTTCCTGTTTATCGCCTACATTCGGACAAGGGCGAGACCTACAACCACTCAGTCCGTAACTGGCTCAGGGACCAAGGTATTCGGGCCACATGGTCTGAACCGGGGAAGCCACAGGGGAATGGACAAGCTGAAAGCGCAGTTCGTTGGGTGAAGGACCATACACGGACACTACTTGCCGCTGCACGGCTACCAACGCGGTTGTGGCCGTCGGCAGCGGAGGCGGCAACAGCGCTTCAGCGATCACGAGTTCTTGGATGGAGGACGAAGATGTTGGCCCCGTTTGGTGCAACCGTCCATGTTCGACGCAAGGCTTTCGACTCGGCCGGACCGTTAAGGAGGGAGCAAGCATTCGAGTCCAAGTGGGTCAAGGGAACCTACGTGGGACTTAGTAACATCTTGGACAATGGCCATGTGGTGTACGTGGAGGAAACGCCTGAGAACAAGGAGAAGTTCATGCACACCTTCCATGTGAGGCATCGACTTGTGGATCCTGGACCGCCCCAGGAGGAGTTGGAAGTTCAGACTCCATTGAGGCCCAGGAGACGCGTTACGGAAAAAAGGCCCATGGAACAGGTCGAGCTGCGACACCTTGCTTTGTCCCAGGAGGAGCGGGATGACTACATTGCCCGGAAGGCACGCTTTCTGCTTGATGATTGGGATCAAGAGGGAGCAGTTCGTTTGGTGGACGAGCTCGCGGAGGTTGGTTTCTTTGATGAGTGGAAGTTCGGAGTGTTCCGTCATGGGGGATCTGTTGGATGGTTGCGGGGGCTACGCCAATATCCCGAGCTCTCGCAGGTTCTATCAAGGATCGTCTTGGAGGTCAATCCGGAGGCGAACTTCACGGCAATCTGGGTGGCGAGGAATGCGGAGCGTGGTTTGCACAAGGACTACAACAACGACGAGAATGCGGTGAACTACGTCTACCCCATCCGGATGCCAAGGCGTGGTGGAGAGTTATGGGTCGAGCTATCTCCCGGTGATCGGGTGGATGGA